GCGCCAGCTATCGACTCGAGAAAAAAAACACATATACTCCAATCATTTCTCGAAATTATGCTGCTGAGAAAAAAAATGGCCCGCAGGTTGACAAAAAGTTATTCGTCCTTTTGTGGCCGCGCGCGGTGTCAGCTCACGCTCCGAACCGTGTACGCTGTACGCGCTTGTGACGCGACGTCTTACGGTGGTCTGGAACCTGCGGGCCATTTTTTTTCTCAGCAGCATAATTTCGAAAAATGATTGGAGTATATGTGTTTTTTTTTTCGAGTCGATAGCTGGCGCAGAAGCCAATTATTTCCGAATTTGTTATAAAAAAAACAAAAAAAAATCGACCTAAATGAAAATTGTACAATTGAAAAAAATAACAAAGAATATATGTCAAAACAAGATTCCAACGCTAGTTAAATCGTTGGAATCGGATAATTAGTTTAGCCATAATGATTTTTTTTTATTTTTTAATTACTAAAAACTTTTACTTTTAATATCATGAATATGTCAATTGAAAATTTTTTTTTTACAAAATCCTTTAGGATTTGTGTTAGTGATGTAAAATACTATCGAAAAAATGTATCTACAATCAAAAACTAATTTTGACCTAATTCAGGTGGCCCGTTTGAGAAATTCTGACCCCAATCCAAACTTTCTAGATGATCATTTAAAACTGATTGGATTTGATGGAGACCAGACACCTTTAAAAATAGACGATATTTTGCAAATGACCGAAATAGAAAATGAAAATGCTTCTTCCGACCTGAAAGACAGTATTACTTCCGGCAATTCTGATCCTGAGTAATGTTATTTTATTAAAATATTTTGTTACTATTTTTCTATGTATCTATTGCTTAATAATAAAGATTTAAAAATTTTATACTAAACATGTGTTGACATTTTTTTTTCGAACAATGTTTTCTTTTTGCTTTTTTCTTAGCTGTATCTTGATTTCGATTTCGATTTTTGGCATAATAATTTAAAATAATAGTTTTTAAAATCTTTTCCATTAAAATCAATCACAGAATCATTTGATTAAATAAAAATATTTCTTCGCCATTTTTTATTTTTTCACAAAACACGTGTTTACAAACTGTTTGCTCCAAAACGCTTCTTAAGTCACAAAACATGAATTTTACAGGAGAGCGAAAACAAAAAAAATGTTTTGCACTAGGAGTTATGCGGTACTAATACCTTTATTAAATGGTATTTTGGTCGTTTTAAGTCCAAACAATATAAGGTAGATTAGTGAAAAATATTAGTTTTATCCTTTTCTATACTATGAGTACAAAGCATGCTGTTGTACTGCGTCCTCCTCTATCGCATCAAATAGTACGCGCAATGCTTTCCTTGCTCCAATTTTTTTAATTAAAAGCCTAGCAACTGTTATTTATAAACGGATTTTGCAAAGCAACCCTATACTGTATTCGTAATAAAATTGCCTTTATTTTGATATATTTTTCAAGTGCATTCAAGCATGAGTGCAATTACTGATATCAACTTATGTTAGTACACAGCAACCAGGTAATAGGGACCAGAAAAAGGTAGGCTACCTACATAATATGTACAGAATATTATTCTGTATGTTGTATGCTTTCCAATGGAAAGTTTCCATTGGAATTTCGTTCATTTGGCAAGTACCTAAGTTAGTGAAATTTTAAAAATAAATTATTTTTCTACATTTTTATTTATTATAGCCATGATCATATTTTTTATGGCAACCCTATTGGCATATGTGCAGAAACATATTTTATTTGATAAAATAAAATTTTCATCTGGTAAGCAGATGAGTGAAGATCGATCTTACTTGAAATTCTCTACTAACACCATGATAGTAAAAGTTTACTTGAAAAAATAAAAGGAAAATATAGATATTGCAAATAACTGGGTAACTGTCAAAATGACGGTTACAAAGCATCGCAGCATTTGTTGTTGTTCTTTTTCTACAGTTGTTGTGGCAAAATTTGTGGCCTAACTTCATTTTTATAGTTCATAGATAAATAAATAATCTATCGGGCGCTACCGGTTTCAATATGTGCATTTGTCCATGCTTTTTCCGGATACGGTCAGATAGTTTTTATAGGTAGTACCTACCTAAAATTAATTTTAAATACCAAACAAATCATATACGTGTGTAATCAATGGCTGAAAAAACAAAGTTCATCCACAGAAAGTGCCCTAAAAGTTTTGTAATATTATAACAGATTTCTTATGGCGGCTCGTCGTATAAAGCAACTGAGGCCGGGCCGCGTATTGGCATTGTGTACTACGATACAGAGCCATAGTGTTCTGAATCGCAGTAAGGATTGACAAAATTAAACGCCACTAAGTACAATACAATCCATACTAGGATTCAGCACATCTCCCAGTTTGTGATGTTCTGAATCATAGTAGAGAATGTTGAAGTGTTTGCGCGAATGCAGCAGGCCATACTTTACTGCGATTCAGAAAATATTGGCTATGTGCCGCACACATAAAGTAATAAGCCAGAGTTATAGGTTATGTTAGAAATTAATTGATAGTAGTGAAACAGACCCAACCAAAAATCTCACTGACAATATTTATTTTTTATTATCGATTTTTCAAGTTAATTAACTTAAAGATCGTTTTACCCTAAAATTTTATTTGGCTTTATCATCGACAATCCTTAATAGATTTTTATAAATATTTTAGTAGTTAATGCCCTCATGTTTCTATTTTTCTTTCTTAAATATAAGAGAAAAAAGCAAAGGATTTTATATAGGTATTTAAAAAATAAAAAATATAACTTTAAATTATTATATCAAGTATAATCTATGTATTTTTATTTGGTGTCTATTAAAGAAAACAACACAATACAAAATATAATATAATATACAATACAATACAATAAAATAAAATTTCTTATTTATGTATATTTTATGTTTATGTTTTTGCAAAATTAATAGTTTTATGTAAAAGTAGAAAAAAATCCTATTAACTATTTCAAATATTATTTAAATCCGTTGTGGTACGTTTATATCTGATACTTGCAAAATTTTTGGGTAAAACGATCTTTTTGTTAATAAGTTTGAAATGATTTTTTTCCTTTGGGTATATTTATTATTAAAACTGCAGAGAGTACCTACCTAGTTTTTTTTTATTAATATTTATTAATAAATAAATTCCAATTAAAAATAATAATTTGTTTTTTATTGATAAGGCGTGCAGCTAGCGTATTTGTAGGTAAGCTATCCAACTACAATTCAAATTAGAATACTATTTTCTGAATCGTAGTAAAGTATGGCCTGCTGCGGTCGCGCATACCCTACACCATTCTCTACTATGATTCAGAACATTACAAACTGGGAGATGTGCTGAATCGTAGTATGGATTGTATTGTACTTAGTGGCGTTTAATTTTGTCAAACCTTACTGCGATTCAGAACACTATGGCTCTGTATCGTAGTACATAATGCCAATACGCGGCCGGGCCTCACATGTTAAAATTATAATATAATTTAAAATTTTACTTTACTTATTTAAATATAAAACGTTTTAAAACTAATTTCCAGTCATTAAAAGTATCAAAATAGAATAACCATTAAAGTTTAAAATATTTCCTTTAAATTTAGCGCGCACCCCTTCCAACTTCTAAACGCTTAAATCATTACCCGACCGCATAATAGGGAAATAGTAATTCCATAAATTTGCGCTTCATATACGTCACACATTGCCGATACAACATAACGCTCCCCAACGCTGCACGGTGCCGCCGGCACCCCCAATATGATAATACGCGAATTTTTGTAGACATTGAGGCCCACAAAGTTGGGCTTGTACCACAGTATATGGAAGACAGCAGAGTCAGTCCCAAGATCTGTGCGGCTCGCTTACCAGCCGTTGTAAAAGACTGGGCGGGCGTGGAATGTTTTAGTAAACAAAGCTTATTAATTAGATCTAAGCGTGTTTATAGTTTCTTATTTCTGTTTAGTCTTTGCCTTAGCGTTAAAATGGAAAGTTGTGATAAAAATGAAGGCGTAAAATACATTATTGTGTTGTGAATTCATGTAAAAATAACTCAAATAATTATAAAAGATGATTTTTATTTTTATATATTTTTATATTAACACACAAATACCACAGTAAAAATCACAAAAAATATAAATAAAAATATTCATGTTTTTTTATAGTTCAGTGTTAAATCGATGAGTTTCATATACCTACTGTGCTGAACATTATTATTTTGTTGTTATGCGGTTGTGCCTTTATTAATCTAAAAATAATTATTGTAAGATAGGTAAAAATGAGAAGTACCTCCTGGATAATGTGGAAACCTGCTGAATGAATAAATAAAAATCCCACCTCGTCCTGCACTTTTTGTATTATTCTAGCTAAATTTTGAAAATTCTTCTCGTTAAAGAACATATTTTTAAATAATATATTTTTATTATTTAGATTCTGAAGTGCTCCAAAAACGCGAGACTAAAAATTTCAAAAAAATTGCCTGCGGTGCCATATAGCGGTTCATGGGCCTCACCTTCATGAATGGTCACGAGCCGCCACTGGTGAGTCTTACGTAAAGTGACTTTAATGTTTAATGTCAAGAAATTATGTAATTATTACATGACATATGAAAGTCATCAGTATTTAGTCACTATTACATCAAACAACATAACATCATATTAATATCATGCAAAGGGTCAGTTTTATGCCAATCTTACATAAAATTGTATGATTTACGTGTTACGTAAATTTTAAGTCATAAGACACGAATGTGTTTTCTGGGCTTAAGCCCGTGAGCGCATTCGCGACATGTTTTTGACATTTAACTTAATCAGTTGTTAATTTTTGTATTATTAAACCTATGGAATATCGAACTTCAATCGCTACGGTTTGATCATGCCTCAATAATTATCATATTTTTAAAGGCCCACTTTGAAATTTGTATAATATGTTGTATACTTTAGTTTTTAAAAACTGATAAAGAAATTTAAAAACCATTTGCTTATAAAATTTAAACTTCAATCTTTAGATTATGTAATTAAACAAAATTTATGGTTTACTAATTTATTATTTCTACATATTACAAAAAAAATGTATACAGACTAGAAACAACTAGAATAATATGTCACATATAAAAGTGTAAATAAATAAGAATAAATGGTACACTTTTGTAAATGATTACTACTGGTACAAAGGCACAGTATTATTAATTAAAACATAATCCTTTCAATAAATTTATCATAAAATTTGGTCCAGATATAAATCGAAAACTATTTAACGCAAAGTGTTTTAAATATAACTTTTATACAAACACTTGTATTTATTTTTCGTTTTAATTTAAGTCTTCCCAAGCTGCAAACTTTTATTCAAAAAAATTAGAGATAGGAACTTTTTTACACTATAATTAAATTAAAATAATCGTTGCAAAGATAATGTTTTAATATATTTAGGCACTTATTAGCTTAGAAATTAGACATTTTTGGCATTTAGAATTGTATACGATATTTGCTAGTCGTCGAATCTGTGGACGATTTGCTGTCACGGCCGAGGGAGGAGCCCCTCCTCAAAGCTGGATTGCCGTACATGCGTACTTTCGATGGTGGAGGTAGAGAGCTTGCTGAATTATCACTGAGCGTGGAGGCGGAATCTCTTTCGCCACCGCTTTTGACTCTTGTTGACGGTTTGCGGAGCGAGGCGCTGGATCCGCCGCTTTCTGAAAGTCTTCCGTACTCGCCCAGCTTTCTGGGCGGCGGTATCATGGAGCGGGCAGGCGAGGCCCTTCGGCTGCCGCTGTTGTTCGAGCTAAAGGAATCTCCGCCTTCCGACTTTTTGCGCGGCAATTCGGTGTCCGGGAGGCGGTTGTAGTCACACATGCGTCTGGGCAGACCGCTGCGGTGCGAGGAACGTGGAGGTCTCGGTAACGAGCTTGGAGCCGGACAATGGTTGTTAGGACTATCCGGGATGGGCTGGTGGTTAGATTCAACGTGGTCCTGCATGCGTTGCTGCTGAGAGGTGAGACCCTGCTTCTCTAGCAGAAGCATCTCGCCAGATTCGTGCCTAGCGGCAGGAAGAAGAAATGAACCGGATTCGTAGAGACCACCGCTTGTGGCGCTCACACCTGCCAATAGTGGCTTGGGTATTTTTCCTTTTCTCTGCGCAGAGACTGGATTAGCGAATCCTGGAAAACAGCAAAGAGCCCGCTGAAAAGGAGAAGAGAATAGCCACAGTTGGGAGATGTCCAGGACCTGAGTGAAGAGGGTTAGTCACACGGCAACGCCACTCGGCTAGCCATGCAGGATTTGTGTAATGTTATGGAGCGGAGCGGGCAGGATTTAAAACATTTCGGAACAATTCATTTTTTGTGGCACAAAAAAGCAATAGGGAAAGGTACTTTCAGTAACACTTGACCACACAGATAAAAATATTTTATTTTATAAATTCATGCCATCAAACACATACATGCAATATATTTTAGCTATACTACGACAGAGGCGCCCAGAGCTCTAGTGGGGCCTGGGACAAATTTGCTTAGAGCTCTCTTAATAGTTTTGTTTTGTGTAGAGAGGACCGCGGATAATTTGTAGAGCGTCGAATGTAAAATGTTGGGTACTGTACATTTTACAATAACCCTTACTTATAATAATTATAAGGGTTATTGTAAAATGTACAGTAACAATCATTTTACATTCGACAAATTAATTATTAATTTATTAATCAATGTTTTAATTTACACCCAAATCAATAATTTAATTCATCCATTATTTTTTTGTAGGTAAAATAACCATTTATTTTATAATTTTTTTTCAGGAATAGATTTGGTATTTTTAAAAAGTTTCATGTTTTTTTGAAAATTTAAATTACAATTCAAAACGAAACTTTTTGGTTTCCATTAGGGTCCTTAAGATCGGGGGCACAGGGCAAACTGACCCGGTTGCCCCCCTCTGTGCGCCCCTGTACTATGATACTGGTGAATAATAAATGTATAAAATTCGAAACCTTCAAATTTTACTATTATTTTAATAGTTTTTAAATTATAATAAATTAATTGTAATCATGAATAAAAAAATTTAACATTTATGTAGGTCATGTAAAAAATAAAATTTAAGTAAGTGTATAATAATAAAAGTTGCAAAAAAACAAAATTTACAAAAAAATCCAATAGGTAGATAATCAAATTTGAAAGTCACCATTATTTATTAAGTTTTATAGCTAATAAATAAAAATAAATAACTTAAAAGAACTGACCAGATTATAAATAGTATGTATATTGAAATATAAGTACACAGGGTGTTTATTTTAAAACTTTCCACTTTTAATTTTTAAATCTGTATTTAAAAAAAAAAAAAACGCCAGAACACCTAAAAATTGTTTGTGCAAAAGTTAAGTCAACCACTTTTACCTTCTGTGCCCAGTATTTGTGCCTTAAAAATCTTAAATGGAAAGGAGTATTAAGGAATACCTCGTTTTAAGTCTTTGAAATCAATACATTTTGGCCAGTGGGTCTTAAATTATAAGTTATACTTTTAAAGGCTCAATACCACTAACAAACAACTATAACAACTCTCATAAATAAATTAAATATCAACATTTTCTTATTCAATATAATAGAATATTATATTACAAGAGATGTAAGTAGCATATTACGCGCAAGCGGCGTCGCTTAATTTCTTGACATCTTGCGTAAGGTACTATACTTTCCATTTATTAGCCACCAATGAGTGCACCTCATATACTCTAATTTTATTTCTTTTTTTAACTGCAAATAGACAAGGTCGCAAGAAGTGAAAAAAACTCCCCTTTTCTTTTCTCCCCCTATCACCTATTTATACAGGGCTACGCAAAAGTTACTATGCTGACCTAACTTTAAAAAATTGTACTTCTTTTGCTAATAAAGCTATCGACATTAAACAAACTGTTAATTGTTAAGAAAATATTTCTCTTTTAAACCATATAGGACACATTTAGTTATTGTGTCCTAAATGGTCTTTGAGAATTTAAAAAAATGCAATTTTTTGTCAAAATTTTCCAATTTTATAAATTCATAAACGAGGTGTGTTCAGAAAATAACAGGAATTGCTAAATTTCGCTGGTTCGGAGGGTCCGGATGTCATAAAATTTTCTTTATTATGTTGGTACCTATACATGCCCCCGAAGTATGATACAAATTTTAGATGTTTATATTGTTTACTTTGTCTGTGGCAGCCGCTAAGGTTAGACGTGTTTTATGAGCTCGGCGATTTTTCGTTCGTTAAAAGAAATGGATCAAAGAATTTGTATCCAATTTTGCTTAAAAATTAAATAAATTCTGTGAAATGTTAACAAAGGCCTATAGTGAGTCTGCTATAAGTAAAACAAGAGTTTACAAGTGGTATAAGAGTTTCCAAGATGGCCGTGAAGACGTTAAAGATGACGAACGCCCCGAACGCACAAGCACATTAACAACCGATAAAAACATGGAAAAAGTGAAAGAAATGGTTATGAAGCATCAAAGAAGTCGCTGATGATGTTGGTATATCGATTGGCTCATCCCATGAAATTTTTTTCGATTGTTTTGGGTATGAAACGCGTGGCAGCAAAATTTGTTCTAAAATTGTTAAATTTTGAACAAAATTTTTGGCCAAAAACAATACTGTAATGATGCCCCAGCCTTCATATTCGCCAGACATGCCTCTGTCTGACTTTTTCCTATTCCCAAAAATAAGGGCCGTCGTTTTGCAAGTATATATGACATTAAAAGCGCATCGCTGAAAGAACTAAAGGCTATCCCAAAGATAGAGTTTTATAAGTTTTTCAAGTATTGGAAGAAGAGCTGGCACATGTGCATAATATCCAATGGGGACTATTTTGAAGGCGACAACATTAATGTAGACGAATAAATAAATATTTGTTTCAAAAAACGAAAATTCCCGATATTTTCTGAACACACCTCGTATTCTTAGAACAACTTGCCAGCAAAATATTTTTATTGTAGTTTGTTACCAAAGATATTACTCTATATAAAAGCAATAAAAACATTTTCATATAATACCGGCTTAGAGCTAAAAAAAAATATATTTGAAATTCATGTTTTCGAAAAATCACTATTTTTAGCTATTTCATGGTTTAAAAAGGCTATGTTTGAGTGAGTCGATTTAAACCTATTTATGCTTATTATAACAGGCACTTATTAGTCTCCAATATCCATGAATAAAATTATTGTGTATTTTTCTTTTAGATGGGCTGTGGATGTATATGTCCACCTGTGACTAAATCCATATATGAACCATATATTTCAAAAAAGCGTATTACATCTTTAAAATAACTCGACTTCTAATTCATTCTGTATAAAAATATAAAATCCACATACAGTGGCGTCGAAAATTAACTACCCATTTATTTATTTTTTAAATTAGGAAAACATAATCTAATGTACAAAAAATTAATTAAATGACTAAAAGACATACTTTTTATAAACTTTATATTTAGACAAAATAAAACAGGTATTAAATCCTAAATTTAAATTAAACCTAACTGCATATAATTATAATTAAACTGAACAAATCATATTCTTAACTTTTACAATCACCTAAAAAAACCTATTTACTATTTTTTTTAAAAGTTATATGAATCGGACAATTTTCTTATGTGTATAATGTCTATCAAGAGGAATAAATTAACGACCAAAAACTTTGGTAAAATAATGTAGATACTTTAATTTGTGGTACATACGTACAAATATCGGTTACAGTTGCATCCACTCACCATTTTATTAAATCCTTTTCCTCCTTAGTACAAGATTCAATCTTGGAAAATCGCGAATAATATTTTTTATGGCATTTTTCATTAATTAATTTTCCAACGTAACAATTAATTTTTGGACACTTCAAATGTGCCACATTGAATAATCGCTGTTGGTTTCTTCTCAATTCATCTGGAATAGTTGGAAAACGCACATATTCGTTGTATAATCTTGCAATAGCTTCAGATACTCTAGCAACAATGCGCGAAACTGTTGACAAATGCATTCCCATATAGTCAACAATTGAATCCCAATTCCCCTCCTCCCGTTGAGTAGAGCCGAAGACATGTTAATAACTGATTCATCGGCGTAACACAATTATTTCTAAAACGACGAATGATTGCAGTTGTAAACTAAATTATTTACACTGACCTATCTGTAGGATACTTCAATTGATCTTCGATCCTCACAAGAAGCTGATACACACAGTTCTTCGTCAACCGAAACCGTTTTCGAAAAGTGCTTTGGTCCAAAGTACGAATGCCTTTCATAAATTTGTCGCGAAACCGTTTTCAATGAAATCGACCACTTCCACAATAGGAAATTGTAACTCATTCATTTTTTTAATAAAGGTATAAAAAGAGAAGTCAACCTTTCAAAACGGCAAAATGAGGTTAGATTACTGTTTTGCCAAGCAACCACGGTTAAGTGAATGGTGCAACGAAGTTTTCTGGATTAGCCAATTTAATCACGATTACACCAAGGTGGGTTAGCATTTTAATCCTTTCAAATTCAAAACTTAATAGGCTATATTTATTAAAGAAAAAGGATCTCTATAATATTAACTTGAATGAATGAAATGAAATAATCAGTTTTGCTATATAAACCCCAGGACAGCTGTTCAAAGACAGTTCCCAAGAGGATTTTGTCTTGACTATTTCCCTCGTCTTAATTTCCACCAATCACAAACGCGCAATTTTGAATTACAAATGGTTTCTAGGTGGAAAAACTGTATGACAGCACCTGTCAGCAGTTTTTTCGAGTTTACCCGCGGCAAAACTTGACAGCTGTTGTCACCAAAAATTGCAATTTATATTTTAATTGTTAACTGTTACTCATAAATTAGTCTTGTCAAATACCATTCGGGCATCTAATTTTTCCTGTGAAAAAAATCGAAAAAACACAATGATAAGTAATATTTTTTAACAAAATGCTTTCGTGCAGCAGCACTCATGCTTCTTGTTAAAATATTACTTAGCAACGTGTTTTTTCGAATTTTTACGATAATAATTATGACCAAGGGACAAATGGAACTACTAAAAAAATTTTCAAATGACACCTTATGTATAGACGGAACACACGGATTAAATGGGTATGGTTTTAAAATACACACCCTTCTTGTACTGGACGGCATAAGAGAAGGGTATTCATGTGCTTTTGATATTTCAAGTAGATCTGATGAAGAGGTAAAGAAGATTTTCTTTACTTGTGTGAGGGAAGCAATTTCTGAAAAAATTAAATCTCGCGTCTTTATGTCAGACATGGCTGAAATGTATTATAATGCCTGGTTAGAGGTCCTTCACTTTTTTAAATTAATATTATGGATTATAATTTATTTATATTTTAGACTATTTTGTACATGGCATGTAGATCGCGATTGGCGCAACAATTTGGATAAAGTCATAAATAAGGAGGAAACGTAAGAAAACTAATATTTGAATAAATAAATTAATTATTTTTTTTATTTATAGGCTCTTGTATATAAAACGCTTCGAACTTTATTAAAAGAGACTGATGAAAATTCATTCCTCCAAATGATGAAGTTTCATATAGTCGTCGCGGCCTATGTTTCAAATTGCGTCATCAATTTCGAATGTCAAAAACCGATTTTTCGACAAACGATTAACCTAGCGGTTCCTTGGATTATATGATTGATAGTGTTGCGATTTTGCCAGAATGTGATGAATTTATTTTATACTACAATATGTTTTCATACGTAATCGAATGAAAATTTATTTGATTACGTTTGCAAAGCGAATTGACGTCATTAATGGAAACTTTCCTTTATTTTAGATTTCAATATGGGGCTACATAAAAAGAGTTCTGCTTGGAAATATTTCAATAAAATTGATGACAAGACTGCTAAATGCAAAAGCTGTCAAAAAAATATAAAGACTGCTGGTAATACATCCAATTTGATGGGCCATCTTCGAAATATCCATAAAGCTGTTTTCTTACAAATAAGTATGGAAGCTAAGAATCCTAAGAAGAGTAGCACAGCCACAGTCTCAGTTTGCCCAGTTTTATTCCAGCCTACTGCGTCCAATTCTTCTCAATGTTCTTCCACATCTTTACAAGATGAAGCAACTGTAATGTTAAGCGAGTTTGGCAAGCAGCAAATACAAATGGAAAAACCTGTGTTTACTGAAACGGTGGAGCAAGATACAGAAATACCATTGAAGCGACAGATACCTATTACATCAGCATTTGAAGAAATGTATTCTTTTACTTCAACGGGAAATAAAACAAAAAAATTAATAATAGCATTCTATACATGATTTGTAAAGACAACCAACCGTTCAGTATCGTAGATAATGAAGGATTTCGCCACCTGAAGAAGGTTGTTGCTCCCTAATACAAGATTCCAAGTAGAACCAGTTTTACTCGATAGATTGATGACAAATATGATGTTCCATCCAGAATTTTCAAAGGTAAATTATTCTCTGTATAACACATTACATTGACAGATATACAGGGTGTTTCTTTTAACTTGAGACAGCTCAATATCTCGAGAAATACGCATTTCACGGAAAAATGTCTTAAATAAAAGGTTAATGTGACCAAAGGGGACATTATTTGGTGCTACCGCTAGCCACCCCCTACCCCTCCTTAAGGGTGAAACGGGGGATAACTTTGGAAAGTCAAATGGAATGACCCGATTTTTTTCACAGAGTTTGGTAGTACATAAAAAAATGAATAACTTTTATTTGAAAGTTTTTTTCAATTTATCAACAGATGGCGCTGTAATTCAAAATTTAAGAAAAAGGGGTTTCCTTGTAAAATGTATTATTTGAAACGTTTGAAAAACAAAAATTAACATTAAATCAAGCAATTGAACAACAATTTATATCAAATGTTCGAAATGTCGTCCTTCCATTTCGACACCAAGTGGAGCGCCAGCGACCCTGGTCGGTAAACGTGTGGTGCGGTACCTTAAGCGAACGATTAATAGGACCCTTCTTTATTGACGGTGCATTAAATGGCGAAAAGTACCGGAATTTTCTAGAAAACGATCTGACGGACCTTTTGGAGGATGTACCACTAGCACGGCTCCAAAACATGTGGTACCAGCAAGATGGTTGTCCTGCACATTATTCGACAATTGCTCGAGAGGTGTTGGATCGGGAGTTCAATGGCCGGTGCACCGCGGTGGATCGGTAGACGTGGTCCAGTAATTTGGCCTGCTCGATCACCTGATCTTACGCCACCAGACTTCTTCCAGTGGGGTTACTTGAAAGAAAAAGTTTACGCTGCAATTCCTACAACTTGGGAGGACATGGTGGAGCGGATCAGGAACGCCTGTGCGGCGATACCGCCCGACATGTTGGCGCGTTGTGTGCCAGAATTCATTACCCGCATTCAAAAATGTGTTGAAATGGAATGACGACATTTCGAACATTTGTTATAAATTGTTTTCATAGCCGACTATTGTTGTTAATGTTAATTTTTGTTTTTCAAACGTTTCAAATAATACATTTTACAAGGAAACTCATTTTTCTTAAATTTTGAATTACAGCGCCATCTGTTGATAAATTAAAAAAAGTTTTAAATAAAAGTTATTTATTTTTTTATGTACTACCAAACTCTGTGAAAAAAATCGGGTCATTCCATTTGACTTTCCAAAGTTACCCCCCGTTTCACCCTTAAGGAGGGGTAGGGGGTGGCTAGCGGTAGCACCAAATAATGTCCCCTTTAGTCACATTAACCTTTTATTTAAGACATTTTTCCGTGAAATGCGCATTTCTCGAGATATTGAGCTGTCTCAAGTTAAAAGAAACACCCTGTATGGTCTGACAGCATGCTAATGCGCAGCTTCTTGGGTCTCACTGCACATTTTGGAGAAGATACAGAACTTAATTCTTCAACTCTTGGCGTCTACGAAGTAAGCGAACGACACACATCCGAGTATTTATCTCAAATACTTTTAAATACTTGAACAGAATGGGGCATAAATGTTGAAACCTTATCTGCAGTTGTTACTGACAATGTAGCTAATATAGTAAAGGCCATTGATCTATACCTTTTCAACTTCGAATTGAAACTAATCAATTTCAATTTAGAATGTAACAATCTCAAATTGGGAGTAATCAACTTTAAATTGGTAACTAACACGTTCAAAATGGGAATAAACAAAGTCAAATTGGAAACAAACATATTCAATTTGGTACTAATCAACTTCAAATTGGAATTTTTACTCAAATTTTAATTCAAACTCATACGTTTATATATAAAATGAAAAACAATATTCTACCTCAGTATTTGTGCCAAAATCTGTCATTGGTTTCTGACAGAACACTTAGAAGTAGTAATAATTTCAATATAGGTATTTGTAGAACAACACTGTATTTTATAAAGGATTGGTACAATTTAATTTACTACCTGCTAAAATAAAAGAAAGCTTTAATATTAAACATTTTAAGACAAATTTACTTGAGCACTTCCGTAGAATCTGTGATTAGATATATATAAATTATTTATATTTTTATTGTTATACTGTACATATCTTGTATACATGTTATATTTATATTGTTATTTTTTGTATAGGTATGAGATAGCTTTCTTGCTAAATAAAGATTATTATTATTATAATTATTATTATAACCGACCAGCCTGACAAGAGGAATAATGAATTCATGTTTCACGTTGTTAGGCATTAGTGATTTGTTAATTTTAATAATTATTCGAATTATAATTCGAGGGGTAAACCACTAATTTTAAAAAATTAAAAATCGCTTACGAATTAACGGCTAAGAGAAATTTCTTATTGATAGCAAGTTTTCCTTATTGATAACGACTAATAAGAAAAAAATCACAACACAAAGTTATAGTAGAAATTTAAAAAATAAAGTTTTTCTTAAATATCTCGAGAATGAACCATCCGACTTAATATTTAACAATGTAGGGATTTAAAAGTCCTTCTAAATGAAGTATTACTTAATACCTTTTTCCATTAAAGATTTTTAGGGGTTAGCTCCTGAGCACAGGGGTAAAAAAGTTAGGAGACTTAATAATTGCATAAAAAGTTGTCCCCTCAAGAACAATTTTTAAGTGTTTAAGCGTTTTTTGAGAACCTTTCAGATTTTGAAAAATTGATGGTGGGAAGTTTTGAAATGAACACCCTGTGTAAATATTTACAAAAACAAAATTCAGCTCACCAGTATAGCGAAAGAAACACATAAATAGTGTATTTAAATTAGTAAATTAGTGTTGTTTTGTTAGGTGAAAGTCAATTTTGGTAAATTGTACATTTATGTGTTTCTGTTTTTTGTTAAATTATATATTATTAAAATAATAAACACTTATTTACAACAAATAAAATGAAAACAATTCTGCAATCTAACACTCAAATCAGAAACCGACTCACTATTTGACTGTAAGATAACTCACTAAAAATTTAATCAACTTATTCTGTACTTTCCTTAAGATTACATGTTTTCACTACAAATATGACTTTGGCATTGAATATTTTAGATATGATAAAAAAATATGTAATTCAAAACTTCTTCTTTGGTACAGAACAGAGGTTATTAATGCAGTCAATAGAATGTCTCTGTTTCTCCTACCTTGCTAAGAAGCTGTGAATCAAGTTGACTATCAATTTCTTTTAGTTGGTTATCAAGAGTTTGCTTTGTTGTATCGAAATTTTTGTTGGTCTCATATTTGCTGTATGTTGGCATGTGATATGAAGAGTCACTCCCTGCATAGCTGTTTCCTGAACCATAGGCTGTTGAATTTGTCAGAACACTGCTCACTAAAGAATTGACTAATTAAAATTGTGGCTGAGAAAAAATATGATTGATTTTATTTACCCAGTTCTTCTCTAGATACAGTAGTGCCCAAACAACGGTCGAAATCACCACCCGCAAGACTAGCGTGTGGTGTATGATGTGGGGATCTGCCCAACATGCTGACATCTTTGTCATACGTGTGTTTTTGTAATACTCTGATCATTGCATCTTTTTCTGCTAACTTTGATTCAAGATCTTTCATTCTAAAATACAATTAAATTCAGTTAATGCTTGATCGTCGAAAATACGCCTTTTCTTGAGTCAAGTTAACATGGTGTGTCTGAACAAAGTTTAAGTCACATAACCCTTTGGTGACTTAAAAATGATATTTACCAAAATCCTAGCTGCTCCTCTTTTCAAAATTTTTTGAAAATTCATGTTTTTTTTAAATTTTTGTTTATTTCAAAGTCTACCTTTGACAGAGTACACATTTGTACACCGATTTTTATAAAATTAGAGTATATTATTGGAGAGACTTAGAGAATACTTTTTAATACTGTTCACATCATTTGATATATACAGGGTGACCCAAAAATCGCTTATTTTTAATAAAGGAAAAGCGTAAATTCATGATTTAGGCATAACACGCAAAAATGATTTATCCCCATTTTTTTTAGATATTTCTACGTATTTCAGGTTACAAAATGGTATTCTTATTAACCTTTTATAAAAAAATAGATTTTTAATAAAATAACGCTTAGAGAATATTTAAAATGTTGTTTAATTTAGGCTTTTTAGTAGTTTTCAATTTTGAACGAAAAACTGGTTGAAGTTTTTTGATCGGCACTCTTTGGAGATTTAAAAACGATATTTACCAAAATTCGAACTGCTTTTTTTTTAAATTTGTTAAAAAATCATTTTTTTTTTAAATTTTTGTTTATCGCAAAGTCTACCTTTGCCAGAGTACACATTTGTACACCGATTTTTATTGATTGCAGTTTCTTGTTCAGGACCCTTTGGTAACTTTAAAATGATATTTACCAAAATCCTACCTGCTCCTCTTTTCGAAATTTTTTGAAAATTCTTAATTTTTTTAATTTTTGTTTATCTCACCTTTGACAGAGCACACATTTGTACACCGATTTAATATTGTAGTATATTGTTAACGAGTTTTGGAAAATACTGTTTTCATACTGAGCACATCATTGGATTTATTCAGGGTTAGCCAAAAATCACTTTTTTATATAGTAAAAAGCATAATACACAAAAAAGATTTATCTCCAAAAAATGTTATTTTATTTAATTTTATTCAAAATTAATTTTTCTTATAAAGTCTTAATAAGAATTCCATTTTGTAGCCTGATAAACATAAAAATATCTAAAAAACATGGGTGGGTATATATATTTTTTGCGTGTTATGCCAAAATCATGAAGTTACGCTTTTGCTTTATTAAAAGGAGCGATTTTTGGCTAACCCTGTATATATTAAATGATGTGCACAGTATAAAAATGTATTCTCAAAATCTCCTTAACACTATACTCCAATATTATAAAAATCGGTGTACAAATGTGTACTCTGTCAAAGGTAGACTTTAAGATAAACAAAAATTTAAAAAAAAATCATGAATTTTCAAAACATTTCGAAAAGAGGAGCAGCTAGGATTTTGGTAAATATCATTTTTAAGTCACCACAGGGTCCCGAACAAGAAACTGCAATCAGTTTTTGGCGGCATTTTTATGTGACTTAAACTTCGTTCAGGCACACCGTGTTAATTGACTGTGTTAGATGATTATAATCAACAGAAGTTGAATAAAAAACATAGTGAACAACTTTGAGAAGAAAGTTTACCTTGATTCCAAATCAGCAACCTTCTTTTGGGCGGCATGTACTTCATCCATATGACGAATTTTTTCGTTTCTGGCTTCGGCGATAATTTTTTCAGTCTCTTGGCTGGTTTTCTCTAATGCTGCTATTTTGGCATCCCTTTAAGAATAAAAAAAAACAACATTAGACTAAATAAATCGAATAACTTTTAATTCTAACTTAGGTAGGCTCGCGGCATCGATTGCAGTCTGTCTGAGAGCGCTCTCCTCCAAATACCGCTGCTCCCATTTAGAACAGTCACCCTCCAATCTCATGATAAGTTCCTCCTTCTCCCTAAGTCGTTTCTTCAACTCGGAGGCAGATTCGCTACCCGAACCGTTCGGCGAGTCCCAGCCGCCCTTGGAAAAGTCGCCTTGCGCTGCCTTCGTTCTTTGTAGCTCCCTCTCCAGCTGGAACCTCAGCTTTTTCTCGGTCTGCTCGCGCCTGTCGCTGGCAAGCTGCAAAGATTGCAAAGCTCTTTGCAGTTGGGCGACGCGTTCCACGTAAACTTGTTTTTTGCGACACTCATCCTCCAACCTAACAACGTTGCTTTGAGCGTTGGTGAGAGCTGTATCGAGAATATCGATGTGCGTTCTTTGTTCTTGCAGAGTGGCCCTTTGAGCTGCCAGTTCGATTTCTTGGCGCTCTTTAGCCGCAGTCAACTCTTTATCTACACAATAATTTAAATGTTTTTTATAATTTAAAGGTTTTTTTAGAGTTACGTGAAATTGGTAGAAATAGGTTGAAAATTCTAACAATGGGGGGCATTAGAATAAAAGGGGTGTAAAGATAAAGGCAAAAATTAAATAAAACAGTTTCAAGAAAAATTTGCAATAAAATTAATATACCATTAATTTTATTTTAATTTTTTTTTAACACTGTTAAACCAAAAAATGCTTTTAAAAAAGTCTGAAATAAACAAAGGAGGTCAAAAAATAAGCAGTACAAAAAGATGTTGGTACAATAGCAGGAAAGTTATATAGATAAATCAATCATTAACATAGTTTGCTCTCCTATTTCCACACGGGTATTCAGTCGAGATTGTTTGAAGGTTGGGTAGGGCAGGCAGAAATTGATTCCAACTAGAGATGCGACTTGAAAAAAAACGGTCCTTTTTTTTTGTTTTTTTTTTCAGGTTTTTTTTTTATTGTTTTTTTCAAATGGTTTTTTTTCACATTTTAGGTTTTTTTTCAAGATTAGTCCCATTTGCCAAATTTTTTAGGTTTCATGGACTAAAATTAGCCACTAAATGACAATTAGTAAATTTAAATACAGTCTCGCGCTATGCACGCGCCACCAACACCGAATTGACCAATAAGGGCCGCGCTTGTTTTGATTTCGTCCTAAAAAAAGTAACAATAGCAAATTCTTTTAGGTAATTTATTCATTGGTGGTTAAGTCAGAACATTCCGTTGACCAGAAAGCCAAAAAAATCGATTTTTTATTACGGTATTTTTAGGATTGGCGTTGCAAATTTTTCATCTAAAAATCTCAAAACTAGAAACTTCAAGCTTCATATTGCTTTTTTTTACGGCTCCAATACGACCATTTTTAACAAAGATACAGCTATCCGAAGAATCGCAAAACAATTTTTTTTATCCTTTAATTTTTTGTATTAGTGTAGAAGTTTTACATTGCTACTGGTTTCTAATGTGGAAACTACCAAATAATAAGAAATCAGATTTTTTAGTCCCGGTCAAAATTTTCATTAATGAAAAGTTTAATATACATTAATGTATATATTAATATATATATATAGAATATATATTATATATATAATATATAATTCTATATTAATATATTACATGTTTTCAGTTTATTATTAATATATATTTTACTCAAAATTTCATTTTGAAAAAAAAAACAAAAAAAACCGTTTTTTTTCATGTTTTTTTTTCACATCTGAAAAAAAAATCGTTTTTTTACATCTCTATTTCCAACACTAAAAAGTATCTAGGCCCTAGACAGTCGACCTGAGAGTGTCAGTCCAATACTGCCTGCTCTCCCCACCAATGCCGGATTAAGCTGCAGCCCCGGGCCTACACATCATTGGGGCCTCCAAAACTAGTTATACTGATACTACATACAATTTAGTCATTTTGTACTAATTCTGTATGGCTATACAAGTTATGTACATAATGTATCAAAAAATCGATTTTTTGTTTATCTACAATTTGTTACTGTTCTCAATCAATTGGATGTAACTGACAAAATCTTTGTGAATAGTTGATCTGAGCTATTAGTTTTAGCTACAGTTTAGTTAATTTTATGCACTGGTAAATCTTAACAATATATTTTATTGAACTACTGCATTATATTAAAATAAGCCCACCTAATACAGAACAGTAATAATTATATAAAAAAAGTTATGTTTATAGCTCCTAAATGTCCCTGTATATCTGCATTTATACTTGTGTTAAAGGAGTAGGTATTTTTAATTTTCTGCTTATTAATCTGGAAGGGGACTTCTCATACCTTGTTTAATAAACAAAACAAAAACGGTCAGATAAGAAATTCATCAAAGAATATTTAAAAATATATTAGAGTCAATCCATATGAAAACGTCGAAACTCGTTGCTCGACCATCTTGGATTTTGCTCAAATTTTAGAAATATTCATTAGGGTCCCAAAGGACAAAATCCACCCTTATTTAATTTTTCGCATGTGTCAAATCTGGCCTATTCGAATTAAAACTTTTTAAAAACGTCATTTTCGTGCTTTAATAATTTAAGCTGTAATTTTTTTTCTATTAAAGATATTTTAAATTTTAAGATGTCATTTTAAAGCTAAAAAATAATAGTTTTTATAAAAAAATATAAATTCACTTAATCAATATTTCTGGTTTTGTTATTTTCATCTTTGAAGCTTATACAGTAGGTTTAAAAGGAGAAAAATATTGAAATATTTAAAAGTCGCATTATTTCATCCATTTAATAAGAATGTTGACTTCAATATAAATTAACAGGATATTTAGTCTTTACCTTATAGTTAAAATGCCTATTTAACTTGTTTTGATATTTTCATCTATTTTGCTTTTACATGGGCTTTAAAAGGAGCAAACATATTGAAATTTAAAAAACGATTATTGTTTAATTCTCCATTATAAGAATGTGTTGAGTTCAAGATAGAAACATGAAACTTACAGGATATTTAGTCCTTACTTTGATGTTTAAATGCCTGTTTGACTCATTTTATTATCTTTATTCATTTTAATATACTAAGATATTATTGCTCTTTTGAAAGCACCTGCATATGGCAGGTGATTTAAAAGGAGCAAAAATACCATATAATTGGTCTAATATTAGTTAATAACTTGTCCATAACTTGTCCATAATTAGTTCATAAATATAATTAAAAACATTTAAACTTTTATGAGGTCTTTGTTGCAACTTTTTCTCTATTTATTTTTAGAAAAATGTGTATTTTAAAAAAATTCCAAATTAAAAAAAAACAAAAATTTTAACTAAAAGTTATGCTAGAATAACAAGCTTTTAAACTTTCTGATAAGGACTAAATTTCCTGTAAGTTATATTTCTATCTAGAAGTTAACATTTATATGATAAAGGATAAAATTATGCGTTTTTTAATTTTCTATGTTTAGCCTTTTTTAAAGTCCACGTAAAAGCAAAATGAATAAAAATATCAAAACAAGTCAAATAGGAATTTCATTTTCAAGGTAAGGACTAAATATCCTGTTAACTATGGTTTGGCGTAAAAATCGAACAAATTTTGGACATTAGTTTGCAAGTGATGCCAGAATTGAATATATTTTTTTAGCCTTGTTTCTACATCTAATGGTCCATTAAAAAAATTATCCATTGACCGCTGTGGTTTTCATGCCTTAAATCACTCTACTGAGTTAAAAATAGATAAATTTCGATATTTTGTAATAACATTTTTATTTAAAAACGTATCGATTTGAAATGAAGATAAAATGTAGACCTTATTAGTGGCAATTTAATCCATGTATTATTTTTTTTAGATTTTAACATACAGGGGGCGCTGGGGACAATATAATTTAAAATTTTACCTTTTTTAAGGGTTAAAAGTTTTGAGTATATCACGTTAAAGTACTGATAATTAACTATTATTTGTTACATAAACTTCTACATGCAAATTATGTCTACGAGAGCAACCATTTTTAAGTTAGGCCTTCAAAGAGCATAATACTAACGTGTTTTACAAATTATATATTCTTTTATCTAGTTTTATAAGATAATGTATTATATATTACATATTAAACATTATATTTTACATATAATATATTATATGTATATAACATACAATTCTTACATATTTATTTTATAAAATCGCCATAGATGGAGCTAAAATTAGTTTTACTTATAAATTTTAAATTTTTTCAAGTTTACTAATTTTGATCATAGACTTTTCTCTATGGTAACCTACCATTGGACGCATGAAAGATAATTTGACAGTTCAGTTTATAAGTTGCAAATGACTGATTGCTTTCAATTTATAAGTGTACTATAAACTCAAAACAATAATTTATTAAAATGAATAAACTAAATAATAATTATAGACAGTGTCAGCTAATTAGAAATTATAACCTGCTTTAATTTTATTTTTTGCTCCACAACCAAGCTTCAATTTATTTTTTACTCGATAAGCAAGCTTCAATTTTAATTCCAAACTAAGGAAAGTTATATTTACCCAATAAATAAATTAGAATAAAGACTTTATTTTTTATGCTGCAATCGGCTATTTAGTATGAGGCGCCGTTTGTGCCATAATTATGATTTGTAAAATATATAATAATTTCTAAAATAAATATATATTTTGTTTAAAATATAAATATTTTATCTAAAATATATATATTTTAGCTTATTTTATAACATATATATTAGTTTTACTAAAATATAATAATATTTTTACAAAATAATATATATTTAAAATATTTATATATTTGGACAGTTGAACTAATAATATAATTTTAATACTAATAATATAAACTCAGCTTACAAGACGTAACGCCAGGAGGCGCTGGCTGCTTTATTTAACTTGGCAACGCAGCCTGTCTGTAATTGCATGTCGGAATTACTGTGGTGTAAACTAAATAAAACTAGAAGATACATTAAAAATAATAATACCTCTGGTACGTAATAAAGCACTTGGGTATAAGTTTAAATTAAAATCTAACAGATTAATAGGTCATTTAAAATTTCACCGCAGTAATGGAACCAAATCGACGACATAGTTTTGCGTAGCCCAGAATTAAGGAATAAAAAATTATTGTTTAAAAAGAGAGTCACGACAATAAACATCCAGTTAAACATATAAAAAATAACAAAAAGCCAAAGTGCGGCAAAAAGTTATTTAATTTACACCACTGTAATTCTCACATGAAATGAAAGAAAGTGTGCGTTGCCAAGTTAAATAAAGCTGCCAGCGCCTCCTAGCGTTACGTCTTGTAAGCTTAGTTTATATTATTAGTATTGAGTTTATATTATTAGTATTACTGTTTTAAATATATATTATTTAGTTAAAATATTATATATTTTAGTAAAACTAATATATATCTTAGAAAATGAGTTAAAATATATATATTTCAAACAAATTATTTATATTAAAAAAAAATATTTATATTTTTACAAATAATTCTATATTTTATAAATCATAATTATGGCACAAACGGCGCCTCATAATTTAGAT